AGTGAAAATTGGAGAAATATGAATATACGACGATAGTGTTAAATTAAGTTTCCTTAATTCTTAATTAATTTATGTTTTAACAATAGTATCAACATTAATATTATTAATATTAGTTGTTGCCATGCGTAGTGTGTGTAAGTAAAATATCAGTCAGTCAAGACCCATATTTTGATTTTATATGATTCCATCTGATTCTACCTAAAATTCGTTACCAACACGCTTTAAAAATAATTAAAACAATAAAATAAATATAATTTTACAAAAATATACTAAAGGTAAATTTGCATAAATGTGGTAGAAAAGCTTCTATTGGCAGCGGCCCGCATAGAACCCGTAGGTCGAATTTTAGATAGTCCAATTATAGAAAACAAAACTGGAAGGTTTAGTATATCCAATATTACGAAACTCCAACAAGAGACATTCTGATTAGCAATCATAAAGTCCCCTTTTAAAGTTAGTTCTTAACCCAAAACATCTACTATGAATGTGGTACTCTGCTTTACTAACTACTTATATATTTGAATATCTGAATATAAGTATTATGTACACACTTAAATACATATATTTGCAAAATTTTCGTAAAAGTCCAAAATCATTCCTCATATTTGATCTGTTAAAGTAACAGTAATAATTATTGGTGAGTACTGACCTCTGATGATTAAGTAATATATTCTTTTAACAAAATTTATGATGAAATGATGAAAGCATTTTTCTTTAAGCAATTATAAGAATAAAAATTGTGACATTGCCTTTCAGAAACTTTTGAGGATTCTCAGTAAATGAAACATCACACAATAATAAATTAAAGTTAAACTAAAGACTTTAAGTCAACCTATTTACATAGTCTAATATATAAATTATTTGCTGTTTGGTTCTAATACCGCGACCCTTTTAGAACTAACAAAACCTTACAGTAATAAAACATTAATTTTATTTGCTGGATTCAATTCAGATTTTTTTTGAATATAAAAGGAATGCACTTATTCCTCTGAATTCTAAGAAGATTCGTGGGGAAGTTCGCCAGTTTACTGTTCAATTCTAAGAAGATAGATTTGTTTGTGAATTACTTTACGCAGCAAGACAAATTTATAGAAGAAAAATTGAATTTTTCTCTCAGCAGGAATGTATTGGAAAACATTTTATCATGCCATGGTACGTTATTTAACGCATATTTTATATCCTTTAACATACAAACCCAGAAGTTGGCTTTAAAATGCTGAAATATTTTAAATAACTCTCTAAAAACTTTATAATAAAGTTTTGTCTAAACGTTTTAATTTACATCTGAAAAATTTCTCGCTTTTATATATTAAATGATTCATTTATATAGAATCAGTCATGAGAAACATGGATGATTTTTTCGAGTAGTTAATCAAAATTAATTTTGAATTAATATATTTGATTGTATATAACAATGCCTAATAATTAAATTTTGTTATATATTAAAGATTTAGAAAGCCTTTTATAAATTTCCTTTTAAATAATAAAATGAATTCATGATTCAGATTAATCATTACGTTACCACTCAAAAACTTATACATACCCTAAGTATAGAACACGACTATACGCATGGATTTACATGTAAAAAACCCTAAAAATATTTAAGAAATAAAATTATATGTATTATAAAACTATATGTATTAGGGTACCATTAATTTTCGAAAGTAAGAAAATTGCCCGCGGCACCCCCCAGATCGGTTCATTTTACTAAAAAAATAATCTGTGTGAAATTTTAGTTCAATTGGATAAGTGGAAATGGTGCCCCAAGAGCCTCAAAGATTGAAAAATAACGATTTTTTTCATAAAATTCATCTTTGATTGCTTATATCTCCGACATATTTAATTTTACATAAAAACTGTCTTCCTAAAAGTTATAGATCTATTAAAAATAAACAATTTACTCATACAAATACAAGCTGAAATCTCCCTATTAAATTTAGGTAAGTTCAATGAATGAATTGTCTACTAAATTTGCTACAAAATAAGTCCAATACTTGTATAGTTATATACATAAGTGAGGTTCTGTATTCTGTATTTCGAAAAAAAAATTGCCCATATGCCTTAATGGCACTCTAATATGTATTATATATGTACCCATCTGAACCTAGAAAAGATAGATAGTTGGACTTCTTCCTCTTATAAACATCCAACAGACCTGGGCGCATAGAGCAAAAGCATATATGAGTATATCTAGTATATAGTGGGTGTGATGAATATTAATCAATACGGCAAATAAATTATTTCAAATTCTTTTTTGTTGATGGAATATGGTCGACATTAAAGATATGAGAGATTAAAGATATATCATTCAGTTCAAAATGGTATTTTGACAAGTTTTTTATATTATTTTAAACTGAATAAAGTGAATAGATATTTTATATCTTCATAATATTTGATAATATTTTTTAAAAATAACTAAAAAATAAAATAATAATTTTTCTTATTTTTATTTTCAGATTTTGTTGGTAAGTGTTTTTAAATATTTATTGTTTACTTATTTGTTTTAAATTATTATACAATATAAGTATAGTACACTCGAAGGCTTTAGCAAAAAAATTATATATTTTTGTTTAGTTTTTCTTATTTACTAGAATTATAAAAATTTTAAGGTGAGTGTGTTTATATTATATAAAAAACCACGAAGATGAATACCAGGTTTACTACAGTGGATCAAAAATACACCCCTGAAACCAATTTTTAACAATATTTGTATATATTTTAATACTACTTACTTGGTGATGTATTCCATGAGTCCAATTACTGGATTCATGCCACAGTTTTTATGCGTTTGATTGATAGGTGCTTGTGTATGCAACTCGTTTAAATAAAGTCTGTGCTTAGTGCGTATCCCCCCTAATCAATGATAGCTTCGATTAACTATCCAAACTAATTGGAGACAGGTTAGCTTAGGATGTTGCAACTAGCTGTTGCACCTAAAAAAAATAGTAGCAATGGCATTGTATTTTCAGGACTGCCATTCGACCGCCTTTTTTTCATAATGTAGAACATATGACTACTTAAAGTCTACATATATACCATCTATCAACAGCTGAATTAGCAATTAAACATAAATATCTCGACTTTGTAAGAAAAGCAAGGGTATATGATGATTTGCAAGGCTCACCTCTTTCATATTTAATAACAAATTTTGTGACAGTCAATTGGAACAAATTTTCCGTTTGCACCTAAACGGGAAAAATCTTTATACTATGATGTCGATTGCGTATTAGAAAAGCAGGCAATAAGACTTGCCTTAACTACTGACACTTGTCGCGACTGCGACTCTAAAAAGAAGGAGGAAACTGCACTACACCTCGTTTTAGTGCCCATTATTGGCTGGGAGAATTTTCAAAACTTTTCATGAACCTTTTTCTAACAGATCTTACAGAGCTGTCATCCTGAAAATATAGGTACATAGCCAAGCTTATAGACTCATCACGTTGGTTCAATTCTATTTGAATATTTCACTTTTCTAAAAAGAAAACTATTAGTGCGTTAAATGTTTTAGATCTTTATTTTTAAGGTTATGTATCAAGTCTAGCATACGGAAGGTGTCAAAGCAGTGGGAAACAATACGCCATTAGTCGTGCTAAAATGAGTTTTGGTGCACATGCCTCTTCAATCTAAATCTACCTATGACAACACACCAATTAATTTACTAGAAACAATAAAATTGATTGAATTACAACAGATAATGTAATACTATATCCATTATATTCAACAGATATAGCTTTTTCTGATCATTTTTTGTTTCCAAATTTCAATTCAATTCCGACTTTATTTCTACAAATTATTAAATATTGTTAGTATCCCATTTTTCAAAAAGAATAACATTGCAACAATGTGTTGAAGACGTGGCCTTCGCTTCATCTGCGTTTATATGTTGAAGACGTGGTCTTCGCTTCATCTACGTTTATGTGTTGAAGACTATTTTGTCTATGGAAGAGTTTGTATTAATAGTTATCTATAGTTTTCGTATTATATTCTTAGTTGGAGTATAAATTAAATGTTATAATGAATTATTATATTATACCTAGTATGCAAAAATTCAACTACTTTCATTCAACACTGACTTATCAAACAGTCCTCCTATATTCTTAATATACGTTCTCTTATATTCTCTTAAAGTTAATATAAGATTTATTTATTTATTGTGAGTTTACACTAAAATCAATTTTTAAGTAAACTAAGAATAAGAAACTGGACTACTAAATCCTTTCATGTTAAGAATTATATCTAAATTTTATTTAATATGTCTTTGGATGGGTAGTTAATATAAGATATTTATATTCTCAGCACTGAAATTTAGTTTTAATATAACCAACACCGCGTTATCAAATCTCAAATCTCAGGTTACAGGATCTTCGAGGAGGTATGCAATTATTGAGGTCAATTATTGCTTTGTCTGATGAAGTGTTAAACAATAATCTAGTAAAGCGCAAAGAGAGGTTTTGAAGAAACCTCGCAGTTAATAGAGAGTAAAAGTGCTCAGGTGCATTGACTCAACTAGCCTCAACATAATATTATTATATTTCTTACTAATATATAAAAAGAGAAAAGAATTAATACTATTCTTTTTAACAATTTTTATTTCGAAGAACTTATGTACAAAATATTTTATAGACTTAATACTGAAATATAGTATTAATACAATTATTGTTAATATATCTTACTTATATACCACAAAAAAAAAACAGAAATGTTTTCACAATCTTCATTTTTAAGGACTTAGAGTAAAAAATATTTTTAAATATTAAAATTATACTAAACTTAATATTTAATATTCGTTATACTTCGCATATATTTGGTGTCAACATAAACTATATTCATATATATTCTGATTGATTAAAATTAAATTTTATTTACTCATTTTTGGCACAAAACTGACTAAGACAGTTTATAAATATATATATAATTTTAATGATATATACAATGATATTCACATTTTTTTTTTTAATTTAATTAATAATATATTTTTTTTTCTAATTGCTAACTAAAGCTTTTACAAAATAAAAGCATAGAAGCTGCTAAAAAGAAATCTACAAGGATTTGCTACATTTTCCAATCTAAATTATAATTTTTCATATAATAACTAGCAGGAATAGTATTTTGTTTTGTTAGGTGCGTAATTGCATATCATCCTGAATACGCAAAGGACACGTTAGCTCCCAACCAGCAGCAGCAGCATCAGCAGTAGCACCAGAAACAAGAACCGTAAACGTGCAAAGATTGCCTTTGTGACATTGCTCTGTGCCTGAAATTTGTTCAGCACGTAATTTTCCACATCAAACGAAACTCTCCTGTCTCGATAAATTTAATTTAAGCCCAGTGCTAACCACTGTACTCTTGCCGGTTGCACTTATTGTTTTGGCTGTTGCTTCACTAGCCACAACAGCATCACTTCCACCACTGGTACTTCCACCACTGGTACTTCCATCATTGCTACTTAAATCCTGCTGCAGTTGTTCTGCCTGCTTATTCGCCAGTTGTAATTGTCTTGCTAGCAAAGAGATATCACGACTGTGACTATTGTGACTAAAGTCGAGCGGTATATGATAATCAACATTGGTGCTATTGTTGGTGCTGTTATTGCCATTGGTACTTGTGCTGACTGTGGCTGCCACTGCTAACTTCAAAAATGCTGGTATGCTCTGCTGCTCGAGTAATTCTATGCCAAGGCTCGAGTCATGTACCAAACGTGTAAGCGTATGCAAAATCATTTTTATAGTGCGTCTCTGGGCATCGCATTCAGCACGTGAATCGTAGCTTTTATAGAATTCAACTTGGTATATGGACGTGATGAAATTTATGATGCTGCCATTGGCCAAATGACTGTGGCATTTCTTGTTCAATGACATATTGTGAAGCATGGCAACGATTTGTTCCTGCAATCGATAAAAATAAAACGCATAAGAAATACTCGTATAATAAGTATAAAACTAAGATAATGTATAAAAATCCAAAATCCAGAAAAAAACAGAAAAAGGAAAAAATAAAATGAACCGGAAGGAAAAGGAAATGGAAAACAGTTAAAAAAAAATACAAGCGCAAATATTGAGAAAAAATTGCCTTACAAATGCAGCAATAAATTTCCCGAACCATTCTGCATGGCGGTTGGTTCCTTAGTCGGTTTTATTATTTAAATTGCTATTTGAGGAAATCACTTACTTTTTTAGGATTCTTAGTTTTTCATTTCTAACAGTCTTATTCCTTGTTTTAGTGGAGCTTTCAATAAAATTAGAAATTACATTTTTAGTGTTGAGAAGTGATTTATGTGTTGAATAATGCACAAATGTGTTTCTAATATTTTTCCTTTTTACTTGGCAGATTTTCACTATATTCAGTGGGTCATAAAGTGTAAATAAAAAATTGGAGCATCTATAAACTGAAATTGATTTTAAGGGATTTTATTTGACACATTTATAGAAATATAAAAGATAGATAAGAAACTCTGTGAGCATGTGTCCTTTTAATAACGATAAATAATAGTTAAGAGAAGTAAATTTGATATATGGTACATATATATATGCATATGAAAAAAAAAATAAATCCTTTTACTGGTATTCATACATGACTTTCATGATAATTCTGACCGTGAAATTCTGGAAACCTGAATTATTGAAAGAGAATAATTCAGGTATGAAACACAAATCACTGGATAGTTTAAATTGATTGGTTGAACTGGATAGTCCAACATACATAACGTACCAAAAATAGAACTATTCATTACTGAATAAGTGATTGAGAAAATAAATGGTTAAATAAGTGTACAATAGAATAACTTGTTGAATACTTCATACACAACACTCATATTCAAAAAATATTCTTAAATTTTATTCTATTAATTAGTTTAATCATTAGTGAATAGGTGATTCAAACAATAAATAATTGAATGAGTGAAGAATCGCATGACTTAATAAATACTTCAACTAAAGAGTATTTAGAGTGAATTAGTGATAAAGAGAATAATTAAGCGAATGAGTGAGTGATCGAATGGCTTGTTGAATATGTCAATTAATGAATAAACTGAATACTGAATAAGTTTTTGAGAAAATAAATGTCGTGTAGCAAAGAGCGAAATCAAGTTCATAGATTTCGAAGGAAAATTTGCTGTTTAATTTGAAAGACACTCGTTTTAATTAATTTTCTAAAGTTGTTTTGTATTTTTACCAAGATCTCTCTATTTGATGAAAAGTTGTCTGCAAGTTGTTGACCTTATCAAATGCTTTAAAGATATGAAACAGAATCATTCCAGTAGATATAGTTTCTGATGAAATTAGTGAGGACTGTAATGCATACATATTTGAATTCATCGATGCAAATGATCACTTTATCTTTTTTTAGAGTACAAGGCCTCATGCGAATGCATAAATAAATAAATGCTCTAATAAATTAGTTCAAAAACGATTTCAAGAACGGCTTGAACTATATTTCGGAATCACATTTTAATAGCGGTGATGAAATTTACTGCCTAATATGTTAAAATAACTATAAATATTGAGAAAACTTTATATAATTTTGAATTAAAGAAAAAACTTAACCATAAAAGTAATGTTCCAACTAATTTTGACATTTCAGAAAACATAAACTTTTATGTTAATTCTTCGTGGGAAATAGATGTTAATACTAAACTTAATTTTAGATTCTATACAATCGCTCAAAAATATTCATACTTACATATAAAAATATTGATACACCATCATCCAGTTTTTGTACTGTTTCGATTAGTTTAAAAATAGCCTCATTCGACATAATTGAGTAGTGGGAAGTGATTTCAATTCGACTCAGATTATTCAAAGCTGCTGCACATAGCAATAATGTTTGTATGCAACTTGTATTAGCAATTAATTGCGTCAAGCCTTCAACAATAGTCTCCACACAATCTTTTAATCCATCGACACAATGTTCAGTGCCATGCCAAGGAGCAGTTATTTGCGTCAATAATGAAACTGCCTCTCTACGTTCGATGTCACCATGTCTAACGTCAATGCTGACTTCATGCTCACTTTCATATTGTACGTGCAGAATATCACGTAAAATCTCAATTCCCCCGCATGCACCCAACTGTGCAATGGCAGCTGGAGCACAGCAAATCGTAGCCAAAGCACGCAAAGCCAAAGCACGGACATTTGTCAATTTATTTTCCAAACATACAATGAGTAAAGTACGTACTGTTTCATTTTGCACGAAAGCATCCGTTAGTGAACCGAAACCCTCATATTCGATATTCATTAGAGTAGCTATCATATTGATATTGGCGCGCAACATCAAATCACAACGTCCCTGCTCAATACTCTGTACTATAACACGCACCATTTTTTCGAAGACAGCACGCAGAGCAAGAAGTAAAATGCGTCTTAACACCTGCAAATCTTCGAGTAATGATTCCATATTAATATAATGCTGTCTTTCCAATGAATAACGTGTATCTCTAGTTATGATCTTAATTTGTTCAATATTCTCTTCGTATTTCTTACGATCCATACGTGATTCGTTGAAGAAGACCAAACGTCTTTCGAGCACTTTCGTGAATTCGGCGACATTTTCGATTAGATGTTCAGCATTGTTCAGTGCATCATATAAGGAAACTGTTTGCGTACCGCTGAGTATACGTTCTATACGCTCAAAATCTGCTTGTAGGTACATGGCACGCTGTTGCAGTTGTCGTATCAGCTTCGCTACTGAATTTGTAGTGATGGTCAAGTTTTTGAAAGCTTCCTGTACAATAGATTTAGTCTGCAGCGTTGACATGACCTCGTGTTCGTAAGACATGCGTAGATCACCAAGCCAACTTTGCAATGCAGGTGGATGCCCATTCAGTAGTGGATTTTCATACTCATGCACCGGCATTATGAAATCATACTGTGGTACACGAGATTTCTTATGCTGCTTTACCGCTTTAGGTGTACTCGTATTGGCTGTGTATTGTTCGCTCACAGCACCTTTTATGGGAGAAAGTGCTGCTGCCTCGATAGTAAATGTATTGTCGTTGGTATTTTCCATTAAATTGCCGCCTAAAATCACTGTCTCATTATTGTATGGTTTTGGCGGTACTGCTCCCAAATACACTGTTTCATTGTTATATGCTGGTAAAGTAGCGTCCTTAAGTTCATCTTTATCAATCTCTTCGAAACTACTAGCATCGCTAGCTTCATCCGTTTCATTATTATCTTGTAGTAAAGTTCGCCGCCTGGTGGCCGTGAGTGGTTTTGTTGGTTTGCGTGAAACACGTTTGCGCCGCTTATGCTTTGTACTACCACTACTACCAGTTTCGGTATCGTATTCGCGTTTATCGCCACTGCCTGTAGGCGTTAAGCAGCGCAAATTGTCGTCCTCAAAATCCAGTTTCTTTGGTGTACTATTAACTAGTTGCATTTCATCTAATTGTGCCAACAAATCGGCACCTTCTTTATCAGCTACATCCCGTACTACTTTGTTACTGCTAGCATTGGAAACGGGAGAACCGGAAAATGATATACGACGTGATACACTCACTAGAGGTGAAAAAAAGGCAGAATTGCCGACGCGTCTGATAACTGTTGGCGGTGTAGCGATGGTATGTGTCGAAGTTGGTGAACCAATGCTTTGTGCGCTAACATCCGACTTAGCGCTTGGTGAACCCAACTGTGTTGAACGACCGCTTAGACTGCGTGTGCTGTGTGATTCATCGTTATCAGAAAAACCGGAATCCTGCAAAGAAGGAAAGACATGTTCAACAAAAGTTGTGAGATATTAGCTCATGTTTTACTACACAAGTAAATGATTGCTAACAATCTTGTAATACATGTAAGCACTTACATGTCACCACTTACAAGTGTATAACACAAGCACCAAAAAAATAAAAAGTCAACACAAAACGCAACATTCCACTTACTTGACTTCTTAAACTGCCAGGACTATCGCGTTTTTCCCACGATAATTTCGAAATATTTTGCTCATCGTCTACTTCTTGTATGCACGACAAATTTCCCGGATACGATTTAAAGTTGTTAAAGTCTAACGAGTGATAACCACTGTTGCCACTACTGAATTGTTGATGGTGCTGCTGCTGTTGCTGCTGCTGCTGTTGATGCTGTTGACTAAAGTATGAATAGTAACCACCACTTGTGAAACTGCTCCCGGCAGTTGATGACATCCCTGGCAACTGATTATCTGAACCCCACCATACTTTGCTATAACTGCGTTGAAAAGCCATTTTGTCAGTAGTACCAAAGGATCCTATGTAAACCAATATAAGGATACTTTTTTCTCTCTATCGTACTTGTTAGTTGTTGCTTTTATTTCTGTTGTTGTTGTTGTTGTTGTTGTTGTTGTTGTTGTACTTATTGTAACTGCTATTATGTTGGTTGAGTAAATAGATTTAAATCTGTAAGTAAGCGGAAAAATAAGGAAATGTTAAAATATTATTTTTTCGTTTTACTAAAAGGAACAATTTTATACTAAAGTCAAGTAAAATATACAATTCCATTTACATATACCAGGGTACACGGACAGACTACTGAGCGAACTCAATCTCACACAAAACTAAACAAAATGGAGTGCTTATATCCGCTGCATTGGGAAACCTGCGAAATTTCATCACCTTAAAGACGCTTCAAATGCTTAAGTAAATTTATTTCAAAGAAAGAAAATGGCAAAGTTCCTTGTTAGTTTCTAAGAAGTCCTTTTCATCCTTTTCACCTTTTTCTACTCATTTTTTAAATTTTTCTATTTTTTATTTCATTTGTATATAAAAATATGATTACCGCGGAAGTGGTTGGATTTTCTAGGAAATCGCACAAACTGACGTGGTTGGAGTTTAGCGAAAAAAGTGCCTCCAGCGAAATTATATAAAAATGATAAATAAAATGAAATGATAAATAATGTCCTTTTTTTAACATTTTTCTGTAATTCATTCCAAACTCAAATACGCGTTTAGGTTGTTATTTGAGCTGAAAAGGTGTGTGGTACTGAAAGTAGACACAAACCCATTAAAATAATTACCTTATCCATTATCTACGAAGTATTCAATTTATTTTGATTTCTATATTAAGATAATTTTTTGAATAGTTTTAAAAATTACGAGAAGCCCCTATCAACAAATGTATATTGTTAAACAACATCCATAAATGTCAAAGGCAAAGGTTTTAACAATGTTGTCTACATAAGTAGTTCGTTTGGTTAAGGTTGGTAGCAGTAGTAGATCATCGGATATTCTTTAACTTTCCAAAGTTAGCGATTATTCAACAAATGACTTCCTCATTTTTCCATCCAAATAAGTAAGGAAATTGATATATCCAATATAATCTAATTAATTTAACAGAAATTTCTTCCATACAATAAAGTACATACTCAAAATCTTTTTTAGTCTCAAAGGAAATATTTGATTGTTTCTTTCTTGTGTGTGTTTTCACAACTTCTATAATGAAAGATTAAATAAAATAATTCATATTATTTATTATTTCTTAAAATAATTCCCTCTAATGACATGAAAACGCAATTTTCCTTCAAAAATACTTATACATCATTAACTAGAGAGCAAGGAGGACGACAGCAAGCAGTGCAGTGTCTAACGATCCCTGTTAGTAAGTTACCAAAATTGAGTCATATTATGTGAAAGTCATACAGATCAGAAATTGCATATGGCATATATGTGTTATAGTAGTTAATAACTTCCTGTAGAAAATAGAGTTAAGTATTTTCTCTTAATGCTCTCCAGAGAAACATAGATCTTTGCCACTAGGGATATGTCTAGGGAAGGACTAAGGTATAGAAAACTGTGAAGTTTTTTCGTTCGTTCGCTTCTATAGATTTATGTTTAGGAACTCAAATAGGTTCGTTATATTACAACTCACCAATTTCGGTTATGCACTTTTTAACTAACATTGATTTTATTGTGGAGTAGTTAAGTAATAAAGGAATATAAATTATTTGAAACATAACTTCCTCTAATTAAAATTATATCAAATAATGCAAAAAAGTTAAGAAATTATTACACTAAGAAAAATCACTAGATTAAATAATAATGAATTAATAGTATTAAAAATGCCGAAGTGTTCAACATTATCATATATCTCATTTATTTTGTCAATTGTCATAGAGCTCCCAATAATAAATTTAAATAATAATAATATATATACAATGGATTAAATATTACATATTCAATTAGATAAAAAATAAATGACTTTTAACAAGAATTTAAATATATTTTAATTAACAACTTTTTATTAGGAATAATATTTTAAAAATTTACTAGGATTAAAATTAAATAAATTTATTAAAATAATTAACGTTTGACTATGACAAATCCGGTTATTTATTTAATTTCCATTTAGTAATATTTTTTATATAAAACTAAATTTTTTTTTTAAATTATTTTATATACTTTTTATTTTGTTTTTTGTTTTTTTTTATCAAATGCAATATGTTTTCACTTTTCATTAAAATATGTTTTCATTGTTGAAATGTAACAATATTTAATTTCCGTTACAAAGAATTAAATTTCCGTTTATTGCAATGAAATCGAATCCATTTAAAATATTTCAAGGGTTACCATATGATACCTACAAATGAATACCAGCCGAATTAAAGGAGTAAGGACTTTTCGTTTCTATTATTTAAAATTATTATTTATTCATCAATTGTTGAAAAAATGTTAAAATTTAATTTAATATATGAATTTAATTTCAATAAGTAACCTTGTTATATTGATTAAATGTAAAATTGCTCGAAAATCTCTGGAATAAATAGATTTTAAATAAATTACAGAATCGATTAAAATTATCAAAAAGAGATTAAATTTTAGATGACTAATTAAAGTTTTAGGAAAAATATTAATAGCAGTAATATTAATTTTAAATAATACTAATTATCCTAACTTGGTCTTAAATGCTTGAAAGATGTTAAAAAGATTTTCGTTTCGTGGTTGTTTCAAGTCATCCACAACGCATTCTGAAGAATTGCTTCATGTAACAAGCATTTTCGATTTAACATATGTATGCAAATAAGTGATTTTGTTTTTTTGATTTACACATATACTGCCTATATATAGTTTATAGCTATTGTATGTATACATATGGTATAGCTATACCTATACATAGTATATTGGTAATGGCTAAGTGATAGTATATATATATAGAGAAAATATATATATATATATATATGTAAGATAAAATAAAATATAAAATATATCTTACACATTTTTTAAAGTTAGCTGAAAAAGAAAGTAAATTTAATAATTTCCACATTTAACTGGAACATCATATAATAAAATAACCCATTTATATATTTTTATACATAAAATCAAATAGTTTTATGAATCAAAAAGTAAATTTAAATCTTTTCAAATTTAAATGAGACACCATCTAACAATACAATATAAATTATTTCTATGAACTATACTGTTATTTTATTAATACCTTATACTTCAAATCATCTAATGAAATTGGTACAAAATCCAAATACCAAAATCTATAAAAATTTATAACCAACTATACTGGCCTACGAGATAACACTATATAAAAAAAATCGAGTAACTTAAACAATCTCTATTCTTTTAAGTAAAATTCTAATCTCCGGCTTATAGGAAACTATTGAAGAAATTTTTAAACAGTATTTCGCGCTTCCTAAAGATATGCATAATTTAATTTATTAAAAAATTTTAAAAGTCAGAACATACTTACATTAAGACTGAAAAGTTTTCGGAAATTCTCATTTAAAATTCGCGCGCTGTATATTTTTCGATATTTTAAGTTTATGTAGTTTGGCAGCACTGTCCTTAATTACTATGCCAAAAATGAGCTCGATCTGTCAGACAGTTCGTTTACGGCAGCTGTTGAAACCAGTTCACCTCAGTAGTGCGTTGCGAAATGTCTTCGACGGTCGTACGACCGTCCTGGAAGGCTTTGTACCACTCATAAACTTGAGTTTTCGATAAAACTGATTCCCCATAAGCCTTTTGTAGCATTCGCAACGATTCTGCACACGAAATTTCGTTCGAAACACAAAATTTGATGCAAACTCTTTGTTCAATATTTTTTTCCATTGTTTTTTTCGCAACGCCCTACTGAGGTGAACTGGTTTCAACAGCTGCCGTAAACGAACTGTCTGACAGATCGCGCTCATTTTTGGCATAGTAATTAAGGACAGTGCTGCCAAACTACATAAACTTAAAATATCGGAAAATATACAGCGCGCGAATTTTAAATGAGAATTTCCGAAAGCTTTTCGGTCTTAATGTATATCATCACCAACTCAAGAAATCATCTTTTTTCAGAACTAAAACTTAAAATGTAAAAATTTAGAAAAATTTAGCATTAAATAAAATTAGTTTATTTAAAAATTAAAATTACTAGTTAATTGACACTATTATTAAATTATTAAAATATTGACTTAATGAAAATATACTTCATTTTACTTATTACTTAAGAGAATGTATCAAATTTACACACACTAGATACGTACCCAATTCCAATATATATGTTTATTAATGAAATATTAAGCAATAAAAAGTGCTGTCAAATAACATATTAAAAGTTTATTACTCCAAAAAAAGTGAAAATTTTCTTTTTTTTTTATGAGACTTGAGACAAGTGTGAGACTTGAGACCAATAGATGGTCTGACTACAAATTCTTGTTTTTAAAAAATATTATGTTTTAAGTATCTGCCTTATATATTGTATATGATATATATCATTCATTATTTTTCAACCGATTGCCAGATCAAATTGCCAAAGCTTATACTATAGAGGAGGTATGGTGCAGTGATACATAACAGACAAAATACATACATAAAATGGAATCAAACAAAATGTCATCCTTCAGTTCTTTTAAATTTCTTAGAGCAATAGCTCGGGACTAACTCTTTACTTAGGGAAGACAATAAAAAAGAAATTTTGATAGCAATGATTTACCATATACATTTGCTAATCATTGGTAATTATATTTAATACCATCCAACATATTTTAATTTTAAAGGGTAACGACTGGACTACTTACTACTGTCCTTCTCTCTTATTGAAGCAGAAGGCCTCAACGACTGAATTACTCTTTACTAACAATTTGCAATGAAATAGAATATTTGATAGTAGTGGTTCAAATATTTTTCAATTTATATTGTATTATAAATCGATTTAATTCTATCTATAAAGGATAAATAAGATGTCTAAATATATGCATATATGAGTATAACAATAAGCTAAAAATTCAAAAAGCCACTATCTACTCTCTAATTATCCATACCCTTCTCCACTATATTTATATTCCCATTCGTGTAATTAATGTGAGAGTAAGTATATCGTGAATTATTGGAAATATGAAGGTAGGGCAGTTTCAAACTAACTGACTGGAGAAGGACTAAGTGATGGCACATTGCAAACTTAGAGGTGT